TTGAGTCTTTTAGGTCTTGTTCCAAGCCATTCTTCACGCCTTGAGTTATTCAACGAAACTCTTTATATCCACGGCGGTTTGGCAATTATCAAAACCTGTCAGAAATGAACACGACTTTAGTTTATCGTACAAAGTGTGTTCCAACAATTTCCCCCTTTTTGATAATGGCAAACAAGACGGGGATATGCATAGGGTTTTGTTCTTTTTATTTTTTAAAAAAATTCCCCCTTAAAAAAATTCCCCCTTAATATATGCATAGCCCTTATCTTCCCCCTTTTGACATTAACAAAAAGATTGTTAACAACAAAAAACATAAAGATTTTTATTAATTAATTAAGGGAAATGACGGAGTACATAACGAAAACATATTAAAAGATGATAAAATAAGGAAGAGAAGAAAGTAGAGCTAGAGCTCTAGAAATCCGGGGAAAGATCATTGAGAAGTTGTTCTTCGTCAATGTCTTCTTCTTCATCTTCATCTTCATCACCATCGCCATCATCATTATCATCATCATCTTCTTCTTCTTCTTCTTCCTCTTCTTCTTCATCTTCCTCATCGTCCACCTCGTCATCTCTACCAACGTTTTGAGTCTCACTTTGTTCACCTCTGAAATTCGGTGGAGGAACGTAAGGGACCATTTGAGCGTATGGGTAATTGAAAAAGTCAAAATACCCGTGAAGTTCACGGCTCAAGGTATTGACGTTGTGTGCCGTTTTGGAGACGTTGGTGTCAATCCGAGAGAGAGTGGCGGTTAAGGCTGCCATTTGCTCGGCGAGAGAAGGATTGGTCGAAGTGGCGGCGGCTGAGGCAGTGGCTCTCGGTTGGCGGCGTGGACGAGGCTGTCGAAACGGAGTCTCGTCGGTGCCCGAGTGGAAGGAGGATTCATCAATCTCCCAATGCTTTGTCTCCTTTATCTTTGGCCCAACATCGGTTTTGATGTTATATTCTTCAAGAATCGCCATGACAAGTAGGGCGTAGGGGAGCGACCGATTGTCGGAGGTGGTCGAGAACATGTGAGTCATCACAAATTTACACCAATTGAGATTGGCGTTGTGAATCATCACATGAATTGTCTTCGTGTCCTCATGGGAGAGAGTGGTGTGATTGAACTTCCTGGGTTTGAGAATCCGTGTCAAAACATAAAAGATGAATCGAAACACGGGACTCATGGAAGCAATCGTAGGGCGTTGCTGTTGGGGAGTGGATACGAAGTTTCGGATGCCTACTTCCTCCAAGAGAGCGGTCTCGTTGAACCGTGCTCCTTCTTCTCCAACGTAGAGCCCGAGATCCTATCCATCCCTGTAACACCCCAACCCGCATGACCCAAACCCGTGAGACAGCGGACCGGTGTGTCACTGAATTGGTATCCGAATTTGCGACATTTTCAAAACAATTTTAAACAAACGTTCTATCAGTACATATAAAAATTCATCGGAGTAATTTAAAATAATGCGGAAGCCTTTTTAAAGTCAAACAACTTGGGATCTTGCCCGAAAACGTAATAAGCATTAAAGTTAATTAAATAAAGCATAATCAACAGATTATAGAGACAGCCACACCATCGTACATCTCCTCCTCAATGCCCTCTGGGATCGGCTCTAGGTTCATCTGTCTGATCACCTACGGACAGCAAAAAGGAAAACAACGCTATCCGCTCAGCATTGACGCTGAGTGGTACTCCATTGTAGCACAAGAATAAACATAATAATTCAACAATTAAGATCGTGCATATGTTTATCCTTTTAATAAAAATCAAT